CCCGGGGGGGGGGGCGGCGGGCGGGGCGGGCGGGGCGGTGGCTCCTCCGCCCCCTAGGCCGCGGGGGCGCCAGGTGCGGGGCCGGGGGAGCCTGCGCTGCGCTGCGCTCGCGCCCGTGACCCACTTTACGCGCGGCGCGCCCTGGAGAGGCTCCCGCGGAACGCGGCCGTGCGCGCACCCCGAGCGGCGGCCGCCTGCGCCCCTGCGCTTCGCCCAGCTGGCTGCCCTTTCCTGCGCCGGCCGCCGAGGACCGGCCCCAAACCCGTCGCGAGGGCGAGGGCGAGGGCGCGAGCGGAGTCCCGGGGCGCACGCGGGCGGCCGAGCGGCCCCCGGCCCTCGCGAGCCTTCCCCGCCGCCCGCCGGCCCAGAACCGCCGTGTGCGCGCTTGGAGGCGCGTCGCTCCGTAGTCCAGTTCTGCATCACCCCGTCGGCGAAGCTGCTTGACAGCGGTCCGTAAAGCAAGACAACGGAATACGGTGACATAACGTAGAATCGGAGAGACTTTGAAAAATCCAAAACGGCTAAAAACAGCGGCAGCGACCACCGGGGGAGGACTTGTCCCCTCGGGCCCGTGGGCCTCAAAAGCATTCAGGGCTGTCTTAACCTGGTGCCCAAAAGAGGGCAAGTTTGATACCTGGCAGTGGGCCGGTTGGTCCACAGGTGAGGGGCCACTGCAAGGAAGACTGCCCGATCACCGCCCCCCCCAGCCCTCCAGGGGGGCCTCTTCCGGGGCTTGCAAGCGCTGGACGAGGAAGGCAGCCCTTGCACATGGCCTGGCAGAATGGCGAGCAGCACAGCAAGTCCTCTGAAAAGCCAAAGGAGGGAACTTGGGGGGTGGGGGGGCTAGCCTAGAGCAGGAGCCCCTCCCCACTTTCTCCTGCCTCCTTTAGCCATGGCTTCCAGTGCACAGGGGGCGAGATGTGCAGGAACCCTTGGAACCCCACCCATCGCTCCGAGCCCCTTTGCTCGCAGGACGCCTTTTCGGGAGGCGGGGAAGGCGCTCTGTGCAAGCCGACTCTGCTGCCCCCCCCCCGTGCTTTGCCCACCCAGAGGCCCATGTGCCTGCCGCATCCAAAGCAGCCCTTCCCGTTGCCCACGGAGTGGGGAAGGGCCTTCTTGACAGTGGCACAGTGCGCGCGCGCGCGCGCACGCGCTCTCTCTCTCTCTCTCTCTCTCTCTCTCTCTCTCTCGTCCTCGCCAAAGGGGCGCTCCGTGGGCTGGGGGGGCAGTGAGGCCACAACGAGGAGAGGGAGGTGAGTGAGGGGGCCCGCAAGGCGGGGAGGACCTGCCATGCCAGAGGAAAGGCGGGCAGCTGCGCGCCTGGTGTTGGCAGGGGCTGCCCTGGGCAAAGAGGAACCGTGGGACCTGGCATTCAGAGTTGCCCGCAGCTCCACTGGTATATTGGGGGGGGCGCCGGCCCCTTGGTCCCAGTGCCCCAGCTGGCCTGCGTTCCCACGGCTGCCCCGATCCGAGTTCAGAGATCACCGGGTGCTGCAGTTGGCCCTTCCCTTCAGAGGATTCCTGCCTTGATCTCTGGGGAAGGCTCGGCCTTTGAGCCTGGGTCCCCTTCCTGGAAGGCCTCCAAGTGACTTTGCTGGCAGGACCACATTGGGCCAAAGCGTGGGAGGTTGTACCTCCCAGTTGTATACTCTCCGTTCTGATCAAAGGCCGAAGATTCATGGGTCATAATACAGGCCTCAGGGAAGTGGCTCGTGACTAGAATCTGAAACTAGGTTCTTTCCCTCCCCGATCGGAGCATCTGAAGCCATCCCCAGGAGAAAGGGGCTGATGCCTTGGGCTCAGTGAGGAGCTTTGCGTGTTCTTAATGCTGCAATCCAACAAGACCAGGCTGGGCCGCCAGGGGGCAATTGCAAAACTTGGTCAGAGCCGCATGGACCGGCTGGAGGGATGCAGCCACTTTGGCTGTTTGTGTGGAAAGTTCGTGCTTTCCTGTTCTTAGGGCGATAATGCCCTTAATCCCCGGAATCTCCCAACACCGCAAAATCTTCTCAATGCAGTGTCACATCTGGCTATTTCGCCTCGCTGAGAGTGCTCTCAGCACATGCTCTGGCGTTCCAGTTGGTTCCCCCACGGTGATCTTTTTTCTTGCCTTCTCTTTCTGCACAGGCTTAACAAGAGGACTTCCTTTTTGCCCCGTTAAAATGTGTGTATTTCCCCCTGAGAGAGAAGAGCTGTCACGGCGGAAATATCTGGCTGCCGGAAGCCAGACTTTCTCAGTTCCAAAATGACAGGTAGGTTCTGTTTTGGGTGTTTTTGGGCACATGGAGGCCTGCGGTACCTGGCTCTCCAGCGGCTGCCAAGGCAGCGCTTACCTGTATCTCTGTCGGCCATCCACCTTGCCCCTCCAGTATCTCGCCTGCCAGCAGGAATACGTTATGGCCAGTCAAAGTAGCAACTGCTACTGCTGTTGCTAAAGGTGGCAACTGCTGAGAGACCGCAGTGCAGGAATCGCAGCGCCGTTTGCACTGTGGATAAAGTGCCTTGCAGGAAATGCCCAGAGAGCTGCCACGTCTCGGAACGACCCGCCTCCTAGCAGTGGATGAGTTTGCCTCCATCTAGAGCAGTTTTTACTCTGGTGGGCTAGAGGTGTGTGAAGAGTGCAACACCAGTAGGCTGGCTGGTGATACTGGGAACTGTAGTCCAGTGGGCTTGGGGGACACCAGGTTGGGAGGGACTAATATAGAACGAGGTTGACGTGTAACAAACCTTGCTAGCGTTCCAGCTATTTTTGTATGTACACGTGACATGCAAGGAGCAAGGTCAGCACAAGACGGGGGCAGAGCACGCCAACAAAAGGGTTTTTAGAATTAATGCCACACAGTAAGTTGGGTAGAGAATAAATGTATGGAACAAATTTGTTCTTACGTGCTGTCAAGTCCTCCGACTTGTGGAGACTTGCCAGTACTCTCCAAAATGACCTGTTCTTGGCAGTCCTGCTCAGCCCAACTCCAGGCCGGGGCTTCCTTCCCGGCATCGCTCCGTCTGGTGCTTGCCTTCCCCTCCGCTTCTGCCACCCACTTCCCCCAGCCTGGTTCTCCTCTCCAGTGGCATTTGCCTTCTCATGATTCACCAAAATACAACAGCTTCCGTTTTGTTAAAAATCTGATCTTTATGCGAACATTAAAGTTCTCAGGAATGTTTTCTAAGTTGCATTTTGGCACTATGTTTCCGTTAGTGATCTTTTCCAACTTTATTTTGATTTTTTATATTAAGAGTTCATGGTCACGACCGTATCTTACTCCTGGGCTTGTTTTGGCAGTGAGAATGCAGCCTCCCCATCATCTGCTTCCAGATGCGTTTTGTGTGTGTTGTTTTCTTCTTCCTTTCCCAGCATGCCCCCACCTGGCTCCTCCTCCGTATTTTTCGTCCTTGCCCAAGCCCCTCAAGGCTTCTTAATTTTTTCCTTCCTCCCCTGTACCTTGGCTCTCTGTTTTTTCCCCTCCCCACTCCATGCCTCCTTTTCCTTAGGTCACGCGGGCAAGCCTGGTTGTTCCCTCTCTTTGCAGAGTTTGCACCTGTTTGCGCAACCCGCCTTGCTAACAGAGGCAGGAGCGACACCGGTTACACTGTTCTCTCGTACTGCGCTGCTTCACAGAATGCCGCAAAGGAGTAGAGCACAGCAGCGTCAGTGGAAGGTCCATGCCGTTTGGATGTGGGTTGGAAACGATGCCAGCCATTCTGTCCCTCAGCGTAGGCAGGACACGGACTCCCTGTGCTTCCAGGAAGCATCGTGTTCCTGCACAGAGTTGTGGCGCTCGCTCGTCAAAGCACAAGACTATCTCCTATAAATAGTAAGAGTGGTGCATTTCTCATAAGTCATTGGCTATTTTCCTCTCTGTTTTTTGAATTAATACTTACTTTTAGGCGCATGACCTCGTGAAGACGGATCATTGAACTTCACAGCGGAAGCTCCATTTATGTAAGAGAGCCAATCCCATATCTCTGGTGTGATGAATAAGCCGTTGCCTCCAATCTCGGTCATTCCAGCCCGGAATATTAGTTTTACCAGAGTCTCGAAGAACAAGGCCACTGGGAAACAGCAGGTATTGCCAGCGACTTCTCAATCCTTTTTCATTTTGGAGGTTTGTTAATCTGTTATTAAATAATCAAAATGCTGAAGAATAAATTTACAGGCATCATATTCCCAGGGAAGGCCAGCTGCATTTGCTCCCTCCCGCATTTGGGTTTTTAAGAGATCTTAAGTGCATTTAGTGCTCTGTGGAATGTTCCATATGAGGGGGTGTCGTTGGGAGCTGGGGGCACCCTGTTTGAATCTTGTAGCCCACGAGCCCAGGCCTCAGATTTTGGCCATTGGCACTACCGTGTTACCAGGGCGTGCCAGGTGAGATTGCCTGGCGAACGGCCAACTAAAAAGCAAAAGGACTCGGCCACGGCAAAGAAATAGCCAGCTGCATCTTGAATATTGCATGGGTCATAGAAGCGAGAATATTTGTGGAAGGAGAGGACTGGAAAGAGGCTGCAGGAGGTTCTCGGAATCAAATTCTGTTGCGTTCCTCACAACCAATATACAATGCAACAACTTAAGGCTGGCTTTCAGCAGTGGGAAGGCCGCTCCATGTTGGCTCCACTTCCGCCAATCCAGAGGCACCCCATAATATTGCGCATGCTGCAGGGAGGCCTCCTTTGTGCCTCGCGTTCTGTGTGCTCACCCTTTTTCTGGCTCTAATGTTCCTTCCATGAGATCTCTATCTGCGGAGGCGTTCCCGAGAATTTAGAATCCCGATGTCGCATTCACAAAGTTGCACTGGGCATTGGAGGTGAGCAGAGACCCGAACAGAATAGTTCGCACTCATGACGCCCTCGCTCACGGGAGAAGGTCGCCCTCCTTCAGTCCGTTCGGAATCGCCAGCAGCCGGCAGGGCCTTGGCGGGAATGATCCGCAGTGGCTCGGAAGGGCACCGCTGGCCGGATTTGGAGCCAGTGTGTTTGGGGAGGCACCAACGGATAGCGCAGCTGAGGGCAACAATGCTCTGTTGCAGCGGCTCGTGACGAAACCTTACGAGGCGTCCATGATGCAACAGGGCAGCTTTCACCAGGGTGCAGACGAAGGGTAAATGCTTGGGTCACCCCTTGGATTCCTGGTTTGCTGGTCCGTGGAGCAGAGTTTTCTGGCAGCAACCTGTTTCCTGGAGACTAGGCTTGGGATGCTGACATAAAGGTCTTTCGGATCCATCGGATTCCAGTTGGCAGTGCCACTGCTTGGTGTCTTGCTGCCATCTGGCATGCGAAGTATCCGTGACAAGCAGGTCTGTCGAAGCTCTGGGGACCCTCCTCGTTTTCCTAGCCCCACTGCCCCGGCCCTGGGCTCCCCGTTTCTAGCATTTGGATGTGTTTTGCTCTGTCAGCCGGCCACGATTGCAAAGCCGATCCTGCTGCAGGGAAGTGAATTCATCTGAAGGCAGAACCCTTCTTTTTCTTGCAGACCGGCCAGCCCACCTCTGCTTCTGTTCCTCGGAGCTTCTCCCACCCATCTGCCTCGCCCACTACTCAGGACATCTGCAGGTAAAGTACCGGTTACCTCACTGCAGTGGGCAGAGCCCCTGCGTTGCTGCCGTGCCTGATGAAAGCTGCGTGGAGGACGGCGGAGGTCCTGGAGAGGTTGCGACGCAACGGCAACCACAGTCCCCTCTTGCGCGTTTTCCAAATGCGAGCACAAAACGTAAGCCTGCAAGGGACCGTGGCAGGTGGTCTCCAGGGCCAGGTGGACTCTAGGGAGGGACACCGCAGTTCAGGTTGTGCAAGCCCCCCCGCCCCCATCCAGCGTGTGATGAATCGCACAGGCCTTGCAGGGAATGCGTGTGGTGTTCCTTGTGGCACGCAACTCGTGCCGTCACCTCAGGCGCTCGTGAACGCTGCCGCTGGCCTCTCGCTGCTTGCTGCTTCTGCCGCCGCGCTGGCTCAGGCCGCCGTGCTTCCGCGTCGGTCCGCCTCCCTTTTAACGACTGTTTTTACTTCCTGTGCTCTTGTCCCATGTTCTGCATGCAGTGCCCGTGCTGTGTGTGCTGAATGTTGTCATCACAGCCCAATGCAAACGGCCGTTGTCTTGAAAACTCCCGTCCGCCCGAATTCTCTGACTCGAGGGGCCACTAGGACAGTTCTCTGTCAGGAAGTGGTGCAGGCCTCCAAGGAGCACCTCCGCAGGCATGAGTGTGTCCGTGCGGTCAAGGCTAAGAGCGGAAGAGCAGCCCTCCTGAAACTCTCCAGGTCTCTCAGTGACATGGACCAGAAGCCCGAGAGCGCGGCCCAAACCTTTAGCTACGTGGAGCGAACGTGTTCGGAAGGCAAACTGACCCACGGCCAGGAGCAGTGCTTAATGCTCGGCACGTTTTGTCGCAAGGAGAAGAAACCGTTCCCTCCCAGGCCCTTTACGCGCAGTAATTCCAAACTCTCCTACTTCCGGTCGCTTTCGGCCCATTACGCAGGCGTTCCCGGGCCTGGCACCACGCACAGCGCCATTCACATCCCCCTCCTGGAGGACAGGTGTGACGGCGAAAGCTCCCGGGGCAAAAAGCTGCTGAGCTATATTGTCTCCTTCTCTCGCAACTGCAGTGCAAGCAGCCACGAACTGGACAGTTACTTCCAGGCAGAGAAATCCTCCAGTGTGCTGGTGGAGAGTGCAGGTTTCTGTTCCGATGACATGGGAGACGATGATGTGTTTGAGGACAGTTCCTCTGTGCGACTCAAAATGACAGAGCTGCGCGCACCGCTCTGCTCCGTCGAGAAGGACAGCGACCTAGACTGTCCCTCCCTCTTGTCAGAAAATTTCCCCCCACTTTCCCCTGTGTCCGCCTCTGGGGACGCTTGCAGGTTGGTTTACCGAGAGCCGCCTTCCCCTTCCCCTCCCTCTTCTGTTCTAACCGCTGCCCTCTCTGTTTGTTCTCGCTTGCTTCCACACTTGCTGTTTTCGGGCCACTCTCTGGGAATAGCTTGAATCATGAGCTCTTTGAAAGCCCAGTGCAGGGTGTTCCCCTCCGGTGGAAGGCCCAGAAATGTGCAGGCAAGCCAGCCGCAGGAGCAGAAGGCCAGCTCGGTCCCGGGAAGGTCTCCTTTACTAGTGGTCGGTCGAAAATACGTTTCAGTGCCACTTCGTAGCTTTTTGAGCTATTCTGGCAAAGCTTCAGGCTCTTGCACATGTGCTTGTGTGGAGAAGATGGGCTTGGCTCAAAGGATCCAGGATTGCATGCAGAAAACAAGGCTTCCTGCTCCAGCCCCCCAAGAGGCCTGTCATGTGCTGTACCGGCCCAAACTCGCTGTCTTCCTAACGAAGGGTACAAGTTCCAAGCTCTCCTGGGGTTTACCGGGAAGTCTGCCCTTCCACTCACCTTCCCCCTGTTTGCTGGTGACAGTTTGTGGGATTGGTGTCTTAGGATTTAAGGAGCGGATGAGAGGAAGGGGGCATTGAGCCTTCTATGGCGGGAGCTGGAGCGACAGCTCTTTCTCCGGTTTAGCCCTGCCGCACCGTTTCCACCAAAGCGGCCTCAGCTGCAAGCCACGTGACCTGAGGAGGAGGCAGGCCACGAAGGAGCTGGCAAGGCAGTGCAGGCTGGGAGTTTTGGGGCAGCCACATTGCAAGCAAGTATCCCCGCATGTAGGGGAAGAACTGCTTTGCACCTGATTCAAGCCCATCCTTTATGCAATGCGACATAAACAGCATTTTGACGTGTGCCTGTTCAATTGTCCTGTAGAGTTCAGCAGGGGATGTAATTAACTTATCCCCCTAACCAGAAACTGCATTTTGTGCTGAATGAGCGTGGACGTCCCAGGAAGTCCCACAGCAGGAATGATGCCTCTGCCCTCTTAACAAGGCAGTTTTTTCGTCCTTTGTTACCCTTCTTAGCAACATTTGTCCTGTCTCATGAATTAGAGGAGTTAGAGCAATGGAATCACCACGATTCCTTAGTGTGTTGGCGTATGTATAGCTGCTGCTGCTATTGTTGTTGTTGCTGTTAATAACAATAACAATAATATTTTAGACTGCCCAGCAACTGAACCTCTCTGGGGGGGAGGTACACAACAATTTCTCAAAAATGCAAACAAGAAATACAATTAGAAGACAGATGCAGTAAAGCATAATTTAAAATTCCAGTATACAAATGTAAAGCAGTTTGAAAATTCCAGTAAATTACACAAAACTGTAACAACAGTTTAAGACACTCTCAGTCCAACGAGACTTGGCAGAACAGCCCGCGCAGCGCGATCCCAGCCAGATTGCGGCTGGTCATCGGGAAGAACTTCCTGGCCTTTAGGGCAGTGGGGCCAAAGATGCAGGGAGGGGGTGGGCGCCCCCACCTTGCAGGCATCCCGGAGGCGGTTGGGCGGCCGTCTCTCCTCGCGGGGGGGCTTGCCTCGGGTCCCTCAGGCCCCTTCCAGCGGCCTGGTCCTGTGGACCCACGCCGTGCCTGGCGGCAGAGCTGCTCCGGCGGGCCGGGCCGGGCCGGGCCGGGGGCAGGCGGCCTCCAGGGGAGCCCGTCCCGCGCACCTTCCCGGGAGCAGGACTGGCCGCGGGCGCACAGGTGGCCGTCGCGGGCTCCCCCGCCGGGCCGCGCTGCCCCGCCGCTGAGGCGCCCGCTGTGCTCTTGACGCAGGATCTGCCACTGCGAGGGAGACGAGGAGAGCCCGCTCATCGCGCCCTGCCGCTGCACGGGCAGCCTGAACTTCGTGCACCAGGCCTGCCTGCAGCACTGGATCAAGAGCTCGGACACGCGGTGCTGCGAACTCTGCAAGTACGAGTTCGTCATGGAGACCAAGCTCAAGCCCTGGAGAAAGGTGGGTGGGCGGGCCGTCTGCCGGGGCCGTGGGGCGCTCTGGCCACGCGTCCGGGGCCCGCGAGCGGCCTCGCGTTGGAGACGTGGGGGCGGTGCGTCCCCCCCGGGCGGGCCGAGAGCTGATTGTGCGGCATCCTGGTCACAACCGGGCGCTGCTCGTCCCCCACAAAGCCCTTCACGGCGTGGGGCCGGGATGCCCGAAGGAACGCCTGCTTCCCCATTTGCCCTCCCGCCCCCCGAGATCCGTGGCAGAGGCCCTCCTCCGGGAGAGACACCAGGAGGCAGAGCACCCGGAGGAGGGCCTTCTCTGCGGTGGTGCCCCATCGGTGGAACGTGCTCCCCAGAGAGGCCCGCCTGGCGCCGCTGTCATTTGTTTTTCGGTGCCAGGCCAAGACCTTTTTATTTAAGCAATATTTTAATAAGTTTTAATATTGAATTTTATCATATTTTAATTGCAGCCAGAGTGAGTCGTTAATTAATTTATGTTATGTTAGATATTTGTATAAGCCATCCTGAGGCTTTTGCCGCAGGATGGCATATAAATATCTTAAATAAGTAAATCTGAAAATGTGCCTGAGGGCCTCGCTTGCAAAGCCTGTGCTAGACGAAGCCTCGATGTCGTCGTCCCGGCTGGATGTGGTCGTCTCTCACCATGCGAGCTTCTGCCCTCTCGGTTATGCTTTTTAGCATTTAACTTGACCACGGAAGTTGCTTCAGGACATTTTTAATCGAGGCTGTGCCATAAAATGTAGAGAAGGGATGGGTTGGTGTATTAATAATATGCCAGTAATATTTCCAGTCGGTTCCTTCAGTCGTCTGCTGCTAAACTGGGGGCAGTCGTGAATCAAATCTGCCAAAGCTGGTGGCTTCCTGCCTGTCGGACGAGCTTCATTCCCCCGTTCTTGGATGCACCAGAGTGCTTTTACAACTGGGGGTCTCGTCAGCTTCCTTGCCCCCCCCAAACAAACTAGCAGTTTGTTCATTGTTGTGAAACGCTTAATTTGGCATCGGGAATGTTTTGGTGCATTAGAGTTCAAATGGTGCCTTTGCCGTGTCCGACCCCGTTGTGCTTTTAGTCCCACCTGTTTGCTTCGTGGGACGCAGCTTCTTCGTAGCAAGCCATGCCTGCTGCGATAGCCATTCTGGAAAGGGGAGAGTACCCCCAATGTTTTCCACGGCACGCTCCCAAAACTCCCCATGTCCACCGACCCAAAAAGTCAGGATCCTGATCTGTCATTCTGCTTTCTGGATTTCATCGTAGTGGGAGAAGCTGCAGATGACGTCCAGCGAGCGACGGAAGATCATCTGCTCCGTGACGTTCCACGTCATCGCCATCACTTGTGTGATATGGTCCCTCTATGTTCTTATAGACCGGACGGCTGACGAGATTAAACAGGGCGAGTCCACGGGTATGTCGCTCGGCTTTTCCTGACGGAAACAGCTTCTGTTTAGTGATAATACTTTTATTCCACTGAATATACTGAAATGACAAATGGAGTAACAGTGTGAAAGCAACCTGAAGTAAAGGATACAAAGCGATCCAATTCTATCTAAGCAGCAGCATCTAATTAGAACTAATTAGAGAGGTGTAGGGGTTAACGCTGTGGGACTGGGGCCCACAGAGCCTGCTGGGGGACCCGGCCATCGTAGGTGCTTGCTCTGAGAGGAGGGGGACTCGGTCAGCCGTCGTGGGCTCCTTGCACAAGGATGAAAGGCGGGATAGAAATGCAAGCTGGCGCGGGCCCTGGCGCTGGCAGGATTGCTGGGGCCCAGGTTGTCCCGTCTGAGACAGCATCATTGGCAGATCTACCCCAAGTGGGTAGCAGCTCTGCGATGCTGCCCAAATGGCAGCACAGTTTCCCGTGGTACACTCCTCTTCCTTCATGAGGCCATGGGCAGAACGGTTTATTTTATGGCTGGATGAGGCATTTATTTTACTTCTGCGCTGCTCAGTAGCCAGAGGCCTATGGGCATCGAACAACCATGAATCAATGCAATAAAATGCAACTTAAAGCAACGTAAAAGCATCATAAACTCGCATCAAAAATTCAAAGCACATTTCGAGCTGTCAACACTTCTCTTTGGAGAGGTTGGTGTCCTTCCCCCTGGACAGTCTAGTCTGCGTTTTGCCTCGGTTTCTATGCATCAATAGGTCTTAGAACTTTTCCACGCTGGCAAGATGTTTTTCTGTCAGAGGAAGGACTCTGATCTGAAGATGTTGTCACACCGTGGCTTTATTTAACACCTGCACAATATGTTTATTCTTTCTCCAGGTATTCTGGAGTGGCCGTTTTGGACTAAGCTTGTGGTCGTGGCCATCGGATTCACAGGGGGAATTCTGTTCATGTATGTCCAGTGCAAAGTTTACATGCAGCTTTGGAAAAGACTGAAAGCTTATAACCGTGTAATATACGTGCAGAACTGTCCCGAGGCGAGCAAGAAGAGCCGGTGCGAAAAACCAGTGCAGGTTGAGCCGAATTTGGAAAATTCAGGCGCCCTTTTAGGTTATCACGCAGAGACGAATGGTTCGCATTATCCGGAACCTGAAGGCCCCCAAGCAAACTTTCTTCATATCTGAGGGATTCTTTTGTCCATGAAGACTCGCCCCGGCCTCGCTAGCTTTTCAGGGTCTGTGAAGCTGGCAGGGGTGGAATTTTTCCTTCTGCCCTTGCTAAACCCACAAAGATTGCCATGACTGCAAATCGCAACATGAGCTGCTGGAAAAAAGAGTTGATTACATGAGAGGGAACATACCGATCCAGTTCCAAGAGCTGTCGGCTTTTGGAGATTGCTTTCTTTTCTCTTCTTTTTTCCAAAATCAGTTCTTAAATATTCCAAAGTGGATGCAAAAGTCAGTTTCTTTTGCAGCGTGAAGCAGTTGAAAGAGGTATGTAGGAGCTATAATAAGCATCTCTGAATTGTGTACCTGAATATACGTCCTGTGTGTTTAAAGTCCCTGCATGTAGAAAGCTAGCATATCAGGGAGAGCCCCGCAAAAACCAGCACCGCTGTAAACCTGCCACGCAGTTGGCAGGATTACTGCAAAGGACCTGCTTGAGCTCCATCTGAGAGTTTCGTCTCATAATTGAAGCCGCTGCAGGGGGCGGGGCTCTGAAGCATAGAGCACTTTTCATGACGTTTGTTTTATAGTAACTTTGAAAGAATTCCATTTCAGTACGTTCCTTTGAGTCACTGAAAACCCATAGACCCCACCAGCTGCCTTAAAACAGCAAAAAGTAGCCCTCGTTTTTATTAGAAATTCACAGATGTTCTTGAACCAGCATCGCACGCTCTCGTGCCATTTTCGCAGGAGCATGTTTTTCACAGAACACTGGACATGTGGATTTTGTAACAGAGTAATTTACTAATAGTAAATAGATTAAATATTCAGTTTAATATGTACAGTGTTCTTAAATGACTTGACTGAGGTAAAGAATTAAGTCAACGGACAAAGCCGGGTGGAGCAAAGACCATGTTGATGCTGCGTTTTACACTCGGCTGGTTTCTTGGTTTGCGTCTTTTTTGATTTCCAGCTTTGGAAAGGTCTTTTAGCAAGAATTGAGAGAGTACCTCCCCCCCCCCCGCCCCATTTGTGTTGTTAACCATGTAATGGCACGGACCTTTGAGTTAATGAAAACACAGTGCCTGAACAGGGCCATCAACGCCTCCGGGATAACTTAAAATAGGTGTGAAACATAATTGGTCCATTGGGCACATGCGGTGTTGCTTAATTTTGTCAACATCCATTTGATTATACACTGAAGAACTTCTGCACATCAAAGTTCTCCAACACAGGTATTTAGGCCAACCAGATGAGTTGCTATAATTTGAGACACAAGATTATAGGAACGAGAACCGAAATTTATTTCACTGTTAAGAATATGAAATATTTTACGTGTAGTTTTGCATACTGCACTGTAAACGCATGACATTTTAAAAGGATGAGATCCCTGGTTTTTATTCCAACAGCTGTGACAGATATGCCCAGTGTCACAGGTGAGGTTTCAAGCTACTAAATTCATAAGGTGAGGTGGGTAGAAGATCTCCCCTCAAGTCTTACCTCACTGTCAAGAGACTGTTAATTCCTCTCATGTCTTTGTATTCCTCTTCTTTGGCTGGCACAAGATTTTCTGTGAAGAGAAAAATGTTTGAATAATAAATGTTTAATGTAATTTAAGGCAATAAATTTGAATATTAGTATATAACTGTTATGCATCGAGTTTCTAGTTAGAAGGAGTGCAGCTGGCTGCGTGGGTGCCTGTAAACGTGCTGAGGAGCAGAGAAACCTGTCTCCTTGATGAGATGCCGTTTTTTTTAAAGATCCGCTTTGACTTCTAACTCTCACTGAGTTTTTTAACTGAATGTTTGTATTTATTAAAAGAAGGTTTAGTACCTTGGGTATTTCAAGGCTATCCGTGACTATTTTCAGAGTTGTATCTCTGTCACTAAAATGTAGACAATTAAGAAATGAGGTGTCTGGAAGTTACTTCACCAAGGCCTGTATTTAATGTATGGCAAGAGCAGAAGTCTGCTTTGGCTCTAAGAATATTTCTCATGAGCTGCTTATAATACTTTCTTGCCACGAATATCGTTGCATTTCAATCAGGGATCTAGAAACATAGAAACAGAGTGAGTCAGAAGGGGCCCACCCGGGCCATCTAGTCTGACCCCCGGCTCCGCTCACGACATGCCCACCATGTGGACGTCCAGCCTATCCTTGAACACCCGCACCGACGGGGCCTCAACGACCTCTCGTGGAAGCCCATTCCACACCCTCGGGGTCCTAGCTGTCAGGAAGTGCTTCCTGGCATCCAAATGGAACCTTGGCTCCCTGCGCTTTGCTCCGTTGCAAGTATTACATCTGTTGGAAGTATTAAGTATTCTAAGAATACTTAGAAGTATTGCTAAGTAACAGCTTTTTAAAGTATTTCGGCTATTGCAAAGGAAAAATATTGAACAAGGGTTCGAAAAATGGGAGGACAGCTCTCCCATTTCCTCAGTTCTTCGTCTGCCACGGTGGTGCACGAGGAAGCTCCCTCTGACGCCAGAGAGCATTTTCCCCTCTTATTGTACAACCTTTTTCTTGCCGCTTTATCCCTACTTCTTGGAACACCTACCTGTTCTCCAGAATTTCTAACGGCCCGCTTGCCTTTTCCGCACCTTCCCCCGAGATGCCCTCTTTGCTCTCCTCTTTCGTCGCCAGGAATTCCTCTGGTGGCACTCGAGGAAATGTTCCCCAAGGCCACGCTCCACGGGTGGAGGCCGAGCCCACGCCTCTTCTGCCCAGGTGAAGCGCGCCTTGCCAACGCCCACCGGTGCTGCCAGGCCAGAACCGTGGAATAGCAGAGTTGGAAGGCACCAAGGACGCCACCAGGCCCAAATTTCCTCCACACCGTGCACAAATCCACCCGCCTCCCCGCGCCTCTCCATACCCACCCTTTTCCCTCAGCTAAAAGATCTGCTGCTCCAGCCCCTTGATCGTTTCGTTGCCCTTCGTGCAGCTTTCCCATCTCTGCAACATCCCTTTTTCACTGGGATGCCCAGAATTACACAGACACAGATTTGTCTAAGCGGTTTATGATATCACCACTTTCATTTCCCGTTCCTTATTCATTTCCATTTCCTTCCCATTTCCCAACCCGAATTATACCTCTTGCCTTAAAAGCTCTCCCTTCTCCCACCCTCCAGTCTATCATGGATGGGTGTTAAAAAAACCAATATTTCTAGGTGAATCAGGACAAGCACAGTATTGCAGTGAAGATTCATCGATTTATTAAAAGCGTGTGTGGGCCGTCCGCTACAAGCGTCTCGGGCACCACGGAGCATGAAGCGCCCATTGCCGTAAACCCAGCTTACGGCAGGGCTTCCTCAAGCCCCTAAGCAAGGGGACGCTGCCCTCAGTAATGGTCCCCAGGGCCAGACGCTCGCCACGAGGCCAGGTTCTTCCATCGAGACTGTGCGGTGACGGGCCGTAGCGATGCTGCAGGCACCCTCCATCGCAGGAAGCATCCCCGCCAAGCCCCAGCCGGCGTGGGGACGGCTGCGGACGCTCTCGCCTTCCTCGAGACGCCTGGGTGGAGTTTAGCGGAATCTTTTACTGTGTGCTGCAAGTCACGTGTGACTTTTCCAGCCATGCCGCTTTGTGTGTGACTCCGAGTACGGACGGACGGACGGTTTTTCTCTTGGTTCGGATACCGAATTGAAAAATCCTGCGGTGGTTCCTTCATACTGTCGCTCCTTGTTGGGAAAGTGCAGGAGGACAACCTCTCATTTACAACATACGGCGGAAATGGCAAAAAGGACTGCTGGAACGCCAGGAAGTTGCTCAACTATTCACTTACGGGGGGGGCGGGGGGAGCCCCATTGCAAACAACAGTGCTTACTTCTGAGTAGACATGGGGCTGTGCCACTAATTCCCTATATAAAACTGATTCAACTTCTCAGTGGGGCAAAAAGCCTTATTATTCTAGATTTGAAAAAAGGGGCAGCCGTCTAAGAAAATAAATTTGCACAAGAGCATGGGCAGTGCTCCGAGACATTCTCGCTTCAGCAGCTGTGGAATTTCTTCCTGGGGAAGATGTTGCAGGCCAGAGGCGCTGACGGGAGGATCCACTCACCAAGAAGAGTATCCGTAGCTTCTCAGTCAGCAGCACTTAGTGCTGTGCTTAAAAGAAAGCTTTCAGCACGTTCTGCCGAGAGGAAGTGGCTTGTCATCTCTCGCAGGCAGTTTGTCGAAAGTACTTCGCATCGTGAGGAAAAGGAAGTGGGGGTAGTTCAGAGACATTGTGTAGCCAGAGCAAACAGAGCCTTCCCCAACGCAGCACCCTCCTCCGATGCTTGCGGTGCCGCCTCCCGTCCTTTCAGGCTGGCAAAGCGTCGCGAACAGTCAAAGGCCGCTTCCCTCGCTGTGCCAGGCTCTGCCCCACAGGTGCCCTGATGCAGACGGCAAGCAGGGGCACCTGGGCCGGCACCGTTTCCTTGCCAGCCACTCACACACCTCAGCTGCCCGCGATGCACAAGCCTGCGAGCTTTCCAGGTGGAAACAGCCATTCCGGGCTGCAACGTTCCCAGGAAGAGGGTGCAGGCGGGCCCAGTTTGCCCACCGGAGCGACTGAGGTGGGCGCCCGTCATCCCCTGCTCAGCAGTGAAAGCATCCACCTGGTGGTTTCAGCGCCTGCAGCCTTCTTTTCCTGACGCGGGTAATGTCATGGGCGTCTCCTGCTCAGCTTGCCTTGCTCAGCCAAACTGTCTGGATCGCATGCGGGAATCCGGCTTGGCGTACACGCAAAGGAGGCGCCCAGGGCCCATGGAGACCCCGCGCAGTGCGCCCCATTTCTCACAAAGCAGTCCACAAGGATTTATGGATCGCAATCTGTGGAACTCTGTGGATGGAACCTTTTCCAGCAAGGCAGTTAATAAAAGAGGCCATTGGAAGGGCTGTTTTCAAATGATATTCCAAATTAGCTTGCTTGCTTTATTTATTTATTTCCTTTTTATACTGCCCAATAGCAGAGGCTCTCTGGGTGGTTAACAAAAGTTAAAATTCTGCACAAGTTAAAAAGACAGACAAAAAAGTAAATTTAAAAGAGCAAAACTATCATAGCAATTGCGATTATTCAGCATTGAAACATGATAGCAATAGAGAATGAAATGGAATACATAAAAACAAAGTTAAACTGTCACAATACTGGGGAAATCAAAAGTCTTTACTGAAAAGAATGCAAGGTATTCTTTGGCACACCTCTTTGGGGAGCGCGTTCCAAAACTAGGGGCCACAGCCAACAAGCCCCCCCTCCTTGTAGCCAGCAACACCGCTTCTTTTGGAAGGGGACCCCAGAGAAGGACGCCCGAAGACGTCCTCCAGGTCTGGGCGGGTGTATGTGGGAAGAGGCGATCCCCCAAATGCCCTGGCCCCAAGCCACTAAGGGCTCTGAGTGTCCGTACGAGCATTTTGGGTCAGGCCCAGACTATAGGCATAACCCATGTGTGGTCTGCAAAAATGCTAATAAAAAGAAACCACATTGACAAGATACTGCCAGCCAGTTTGCAAAAACTGCAGTGACTGGAAAGGTCTCCTGGCCCTGATTCACTATCCCTTCTTCCTTTTTTATCACAGATAAAGACCAGAGGTTTAGTTCTAGGCTTCCAAAATCCCTTAGAAGAAACCAGACGCTCTTTTATAGAGGATTTTTCTTTACAGTTCGTCAAAATAAGCCCTGACTGGATCATTCTCTTGTGGGCTCACGTGCCCGTGTGCTAGAATTACACAGAAATTCCTACGGTGAATTTAAAAAATCACACCCTGTTCCATATAGAAATCATAATGACCATCAACCTGAGGAAGAGCTTCAGAGTGCTAGAAGTGGCGTCCCCCAAAAAGCACCGAGTGCCCAAAGGCAACGCAGACCGTTCACAACAAAGGAAGAGCAAGGTCTCTTCAATCGTAAAAGTTCTATGTTATGACAGAAAGCTCTGAGAAATATTGTTAGCGGCAACACGACTCTCAATGAATAACAAATCGATAGAATTCGCTGCTATCTTGATCTGAAGCTACCTGCATATAATTTTTTGTTAAAAGCTCCAGCTCCCTGTCTTTGCAAAGTGCAACTCAGATAGCCACACTATTTGGGATCTGATCTGGGGAAAGGTAATAGTACGGGAGATTTTTATTCCTGTTCCGTTCAGCGATGCCACTTGTGATTTCATCGAGGTTCTCGCGGAACCTCTTCATGGCTTCCTTGACGGGCCTCTCTGTGAAGTGCTCGTCTGGATACATCCCCAGAAACACCTAGTTGGAGAAAAAGACCAGCGTTACCTGCTGGGGGAGGTGATGTTGTACAAATGCAGCCCCCCCCCCCCCCCGCTGAGCTAAAAAGAATGCAGACATCCGTGAAGCAAACTCCTGCAGTCCTCTGCGAAGGAGAGCACGTGACGGCAGGGTTTGGGCTGCCTGCTCACCATTCCACACCTTCTGTTTCACACACCGATGCAGGAGGAGCAGGGCCGCTGCAGAGCTGGCGCCAAGGAGCACCTTCCCCACCGAGCCACGTGCTGCCTGAGCCACCGGGTCCCTCGCGGCAGCCAGGGTCAGCCCTGCACCCTGCACCACGCTCTTGCAGGATGGATTCGTGGCTCCCCCCGCCTTCCCTCCTCCAACTTTCCCCTCCCAACATGCACACCCAAAGATGGGGCAGGGAGGAGGAGTCACTGTGGCAGCAGCTTTAGCCCTTGGCTCCCACCTGCCTTTGGTAAAAATGGTCAGGCCCGTGAGTTGTCTAGGAAAATAGCGATGACATCGGAAGATGCATGCAGGCGTCTTAACTGCGCCCACTTCTGAGGGCCAATTTTGTTGAATGTTGGCATTATCCAAGATTAATAGAATGCAGAAGCACAAATGCACTCCGAGGGATGTGTCTTTCTAAAGGGAGACCTTGGGGCCGGGGCTTGGGCCATGGTCGGTGGATGATCACGGTCTGCCCTTCTGGGCCGGGATGACGCAAACCCGCAGGCAGAGAAGAATGTCAGGCTTTCCCGTTTTGCTGCCAAGATTGTGCAAAGGAGGACAGCGGCTCGATCAGGCCCCTCACAGCACCAAAGCAGCTTCTGTGTCTTTCTGATGGGGCTGGAAAGGCGAGCTCCAGCCCAGGTCAGCTCCACCCCACCGTGAGCGCCTCCATCAAGAACATCTCTGCACTCCAAGTTGGCCGCTGTGAAGACGGCAAGGCTCTTCTTCCAGGTGCAGTGCCGGCAACGAGCCAGGTCTGCAGGGATGGGAAACCACGTGGGGTCTCTGTTGGTGCCAGCAAATTAAAGCTATGCGTTGCTCAGGAGGTCCTGGGAGGGCTTGGGCGACCCGCAAAATGGTCTAAAAGCATCACAGAAATGTGCGGATTTCCAAGATGGACGCAAACAAACCGCTTGGAAGAGAAGGAGATTTTGCTCACCTCGTTCTCCTGAAACTGGCTCAGGGCCCACACCGCGCCCAGGTGCCAACAAGAGCGGCCCCTGTCCGGCAGGCTCTGGATGATGTACTCGATGGTAACACTTCCCTTTTCTTTAGGAGGTGGGCAGCGCATCGTTGGAGGCGCATTAGGAATCCAGGAACACCAGTCATACTGCGGGGAAAAGCACAGAGACGCTAGAGCCAAGGGCAGAGGAAGCCAAGAAGCAACAGGCCAATAGCGCTGCAAAATGCGGCAGGCGACTGATCTTTTGCGGCCCAAAGCTAAGAGAGGCGTGAGAAGTCCCAACGCGCAACCAGGGTTGTGTGTGTGATGTGCTGTCCAGCCATCTTCCTTCAACTTCCTGTGGGAGGCAAAAGCCAGTTGCCGAAGCCCTTCGAGGTGGTCCAGTGCCTGGCTGTGATCGACGGCGCTGGTTCCCCGAACCACTGATTTTTTTTAAACCAGCATAATGCCATGTGCAGATCCCGGCGGCAAGCGGGTAGTCAAGCCAGCGCCCACTCCGCACTGCCCCTCAGGGATCCTGCTGGGGGGGGGGCACGCATTCACCCCCACCCCAGATGCATGCCATTTCCCATGGCTTATTGCCAGGTGAGCTGCGGAAGGTACACAGACACCCCACGCACCTTTATGTCTCCTGCCCCTTTGGACTATGTAGCAGTTGCTTTTCTGGTCCCTTTCCTACCTCTTTTAGCTGCTGCCCCGGGTGCCTAGAACAGATTTCCTACTGAACCCCAAAAGCCAATGCATCCACAGCTTCTCTTCTGAGAAATCCACATCCCCATCCACCTTTCCTGCTGGAGGTAACCCTACACATTCCTACCACTTGATGGTCCTTCCAGAAACCCTGAAGCCACTGCTAGGTACATCTAGTTTAAATATTCGTACTTCCAAATAGACCCTACCTGACCAAAATTTACAGCGGCGTGTTGTGCTGACGTCGTAAATATCACCACCGTAAGATATTCTGACAGCTTCTCCCGGGTCTTGATCGCTTTAGGAAATCCTGCAAAGCAAAGGGAAATCTTCAGTAGATACGTATTGAAACCAAAGATGCCTCAAGGGGGTTTAAAAGCAGGCCAGCTTTTCTTTTTCACTCTGCCCTGATATCAAAATCATGCGCGTCCGTTCTGACCTTGCTGGACCGCCCAACGGGAACGCACGGATGGGCATGAGCCGGAACGGAGATGAAACATGCAAGCGGCCGCGGAGGCCCATCGTGTCCGCTTGAACCCTGGATTCGCCTAGACGTGGTCCAAGAGCCGCCGCTCCAAAGGAGAACGCAACCTTCCCTGCCCCGGTCTTTCTCCAAAATGCCCCTTTAAGCATTCATTTTGTTTGCTTGTTTTTCGATTTATATCCTGCCTTTTTCCTACAAAGGGCTCAAGGCAGCTTACACCATTCTCCTCCTCCATCTCATCCCCACAACAACCACCCTGTGAGGTTGGTTGGGCTGAGGGTCTGCGACTGGCCCAAAGTCACCCAGCTGGCTCCATGGCCAAGCGGGAACTCGAACCCAGGTCGCCTGAGTCCTAGTCCCACGCTCTTCACCACAACACCACACTGGCTCTTAAGTGTTTGCAAGCCGCAACCGTGAGCCATGTGGCTATTTTCAGCTGTGGTGACTTGGAGACCAGAGAAACTGCGGTTTCAGGTTGGGTGGGGGTACCTAAGCCGATTCCTGGAATCTCAATAATGCCAGTGTTGCTCTTTCTGCACCACCAAAAAAGCATTGTTCTGGGGGAAAGCCATCCCCAGAACCATGGGAGGCGGCGGAGGGAGAGAATAAAAGAATAAAAACATCCAAAATCTCCTCTTTCAGAAAGAGTGAGTACAATACTGTTTGGATTAAAGCATTCGCTCTGCTAGTCCAGCTAATTAACTATGATAGAACTTTGGCAGGATGGCCGTCATCTTAGTAGTGAAAGCGACTGACAGATGCTTCTTAATTACTGGAAAACTCATCCTTCTTTTAAAACAGAGATCATATTCTGCAATGCTTTTGCTTGGAGTAATTTTGAAGTATGTCATTCTGATTCCTTTCCTACCTTTTTTTCTGAATAATTTTTAATAAGTATTTTGGATTTCTCGTAAAATTTCATTTTTGTTCGAAACTTTATTTGCTAGAAATTTTCTATTTCTAACCCAAATGAATCTAAAATGACAGCTCACCTGGCTCCGATGGGGCCCAGAAATCTCACCTGAAGCTTTGTTGCTTCTCATCCCATAGACATAGATGTCTTTCACAAAGGCCTGCAGCTCCACATCTTCACACACCGTTTCATCACTATCATAATAGATGTTGACAATTTCCGTCACGAAACTGAGGAAAACAGCAAAGAAAATTACCAAAAATGTGCGGAGCTTCTGATGAGTCTGGAGTTTGCTCTGCTGGTGTGCACATGCATGCTTTTTATTTGCAGAAATGTTTCTAAAGACACGGGTTGCAAAATGTTCCCAAGGCCAGCAGAAAACTGCATCGGCCTCTCTGGAGACAAAAGCCAGACAGACTGCTCTGTACTGAAGTATTCATGATCACAGAACCAAAACTGTGTGTAAAAACGCTACTCTGCAATGTCCTTTTGCAACGGATCATTTCTAGGAACAATGTTCAGCTGCTCCCGGGCAGTGGTACAGAAAACCGCACGGAAACCTGCCATGGCTGCTACTTTTCGACAGAACACCATCTGGGACAACCCAGCCTTGCGTAATCCATTGAGTAGGAGCTTCGACCCTTATTAGGTGGAAACAAATGTTTTTGAGCACCAATCAAATTCTGAATACTGCAGCTCCTTCTATATTGCAATTTCAGCTGCCTCCAAGAACAGAACTTGTTTGCTTGAGAGAGGCTGGTAAAGCGCCTTTTTCTTCGTATTTTTTATTCTGACTACTTGACTCATATAAGGTACAAATGCGTCTGCCTTGCACAGCGCCACTTCTCTCTCACTGCCTTTTCGTGCACAAACAAGCCACACCAAAAGGAAACCTACTGGGACCCCATGGAAACACAACTCTCCAACCGTGAGAAGATCGGGAAGCTGCTTGCCATGCTCATTAATTCTTTGAAGTTTGCAGCTACCTGACAGTTTGCAACAAACAGAAACAAATACGACAGTTTGCAACTATCAAAGCTGCTTCGGTGCCACTGGTGTTTCTCAAAGCAGACTCAAGTACAAATGGCAGGTGCCTCTTTTGACGGTGTTTATGAAGCCAAGAAGCGACCGAAACAGGGAACAGGCCGTCCTCTCCCCCAGCACGTACACCGTGAGTGCATCCGGCATTGGTGATGTGCCAGCTTCCCTGGGCCCAATGAAATCAATGGCCTTAAGGACAGGTAGGGATACTGGATGGGCCATGTCCACCCATAGCTCACTCGTCGTGAATGTGCCAGGGGAAACACCGGTGCAACACGCTGCCGCTCCGCTGCAAGAAATGCGATTGCCAGAAAAATGGGAAGCGCCCCCAAGGAAGGAAGTGGAAAGGGGAACTGCCGCCTTCCATGGCTCGGCTGCCTCTTTTATCTTGCTGGGTAAAAACGAAAAACTAGCATGAATGCATGAAGGGCTACGAGGAGCCAAAGGCCTGGGAGAAGCAGCAGACCATGTCCTCTCCAGCCGCAAATCCCTGGCTTCCGTCCCACCTCCTTGGAAAATCCAGTGCCAGCCATACGACTGAGCCAAGGAAAGAACTCCCCTTTGCGCAGAGGGATATTTGGGGGTCTGGAACGCTTCCTGGATCTGGGATTGCACCAATCATGCCGGCCTTGCCATGGTGCAGAACGAGATAAACACGGTAGACTATCCGAAGGAAGTTCCCGCACGAGATGCTGCCGGCTTTGTGGTTTGCGCTCCATTTCCCGACGCCCAGCACAGCGTGGCAGACCTCATACCTCTGTACCGCTTCCCACACTCGGATGCCGTCATCCCGATAGAAGTAGTAGGGAATGTCCTCCTTGCTTTCCATGAGCCGGGCCTTGATTTCCTCCGGGAAGCAGAGGGAGCTGTAGCTGAAGCGCTTCATCGCCCGCTGGACCATCTGCACGTGGCCGCCTCCTCCGGTGGCGTTGGCCTTCGCGCCCAAACCAAGCAGGACAGGGTGTTAAGCAAAGCTGTGGCCAGCGAGAGGAAAGCTCTGAGCCGGGGGCACCCAACCCCCAGGGGGCCGACTGGGCCACACAGCAGGAAGCGAGCGGTGGGCGAGCGAGGGAAGCTTCGCCCGTAGCTGCAGCTGCTCCCCGTCCCCGCCAGGAAGTGGCTGCAAATACAGACCATCACTGGGGCCCTTTTGGGGGCAGGGCTGGCAGAAGTGGCGCGGAGAAGCCGGCGAGGGTGTGTGTGAGCGGTGGGGGAAGCGGGGGGCAGGTACGGCTGGGCTGCAGCTTGGCGGGAGCCTCCCTCGATTCCACGTGATGGCGAGTTGCGTCATTATTTCTCTCTATAGTGCAATGGAATAATCCAGTGCACAGTAAATGCAATGGGTTCCAATCATCCTGAAACCAACTTCTGCCCACGTGGCCCATAGAAAAATTGTCTTCCGTGAAACCAGAAGTTTCCGTGGTGCCAGAAACACTGGGGACTGCAGCTCCTAATGGGAACAGGAGCCCTAAATGGCTCACATATAAAATTTCTAGCCAATGGGTACTCTGCACTGAAGAAAGCAGTGCTGGAGCCTGGATCACTGGAGGCTTTGAAGATCGGAGGTTTGATGTCTCAGAGAGAGACAGACAGACAGAGGTCAGATAACTATTTTCTGCCCCAACAAGGCCATGTCGCAGCATGGAGTGCATTGGGATTGCCTGCCCTTCATGTGCCCCAGAAAGGACAGATGGATGGGAGGCGGATCTGTACTCTCCTTTATACACCCACCACTGCCGTGGCCTGGAAATGCACTTGCCGCAGATGAGCAGAAGCAGCACTCCAAGCTGCGGATGTCTGCACGGTCTGCCAGCCTCAGGAGGGCCCTGCTGGCACGGCCATCATTTCTGCCAGCCTCTTGCCCGAAAAGGGCAGCTCAGAAACTGATCCAAGTCACCAGCACCTGGGGAGGGTTCCTGAGAAGCATTCTAAGGACGGTCCTTTCGGGGCAGCGGGAATACGGAAGAGCAGCCCGAGGGAAGCAAAATCCTCTCACCTTGTCGAAAAGGCCATATTCACAGATAAGCTGCTCCCGGGCTTTGGTGTTGATGGCGATCGTGTATCGAACGTGGGGGATCAGGAGCTGCAAGCCAGAAGGGGAGGTGTCTCAGGAGGAAACGCTGCCCGCACGGTCTTCCCAGTGCAGCGCGATTCACAGGCCACACCATGACCTGCAGAGCCGTGTCCGCATGAACCACCCCCATGGACACCGAGGGCGTGCCAGGGTGGAGCGGGTTCAGACAAGAAGGGAAACGGCAGTGAGCGAGCCCCCGTGGGCCTGTGGGAGAGACACGAGGGAGCAGGTGCGGCTGTGTTTTGCATGTCTCGCCAGTTGTCGTCCAGACAAGGAAAGCTCGTGTGGCTAAAAATCAGTACAGCACGGAGGCCGAGGAGGTCATGGCCAGGCAGTCATCGGCCCAGTGTCTAGATGAACTAAGCCCTCAGCACTTGATCACGGAACCAAATCCATTTCCCGGAAGAAGGACATTCGTCTCTGCAACTCATCGGGCCGAAATAAATGCCAGCACTTCCGAGAACTGGCTGTCTCCTGCTCGTTTGTGGAATCCTTACTCAGCCGTTAGGGTTTTGTCACTTGGGGCCCGGCTGCATTTCGCCATGCACGTGTGCCCACCAGGGGTGCCCCCTAGTTTAGCCCCAAAGTGACCCACCTTAAAGAGAGGGTGGACAGCCGGGAGTTGACGGAACATGGCCACGCCGAACACCTCCGAAATTAAGTGAGTGCGAAGGAGGTGCGTAATAGTCTGATGTATGTGGAAGTCGGACGATCGCGCCCAGATTTTGGCCAGTAACCAGTCGTACTTCGCATCGGATGGAAGGAAGATAGGGTTGTCTGGTCCCGGAGCTTGTTTGATCTGAGAAAATGTGGTAGAAGAACAACGGGATTGTTCGCGATGAAATCTGGTATGTCCCCAAACCCTTTGGCATGGTATTGAGCTAGTTTAATGCCAGAAGCCCCAGAATGGGCATGAGTCTAATACTGGTAAGAGAAGGGCATTTCCTCCACTCGTCCTTTACTCCCCTTTCAAGGAACTGTCTTTGTTTTACTTTTACAGGTAAGCAGGGCAAACAAAGCGCAGCGCTGCAACACAGCGCCGTCCATCCTGCTTTGGGGGGATCCTGCACTGAGCAGGGGGCTGGGCGGATGGCCTTGACAGCCCCTCCAGTTCTGCCCTTCTGTGATTCTTCGATGAGATGCCACAAGCAACTCCCAGACATGCTGCATCGGAGAAATGCAAAAGAACGCCAGGAGTGTTGGGAAATAGGCGGAAATAGAACCACGAGAGTTAAGATTAGTACAATGGGGGACTGCCAAAATAAATCTGTGCAAATTTTATTCCCCTTTATTCAAATGATATGTTCAGTAATATTGCTAAGGAAAGATCCTATGGCCCCCCAGGCACAGTCAGGGTGTGAGGACACAGGATAGTTCAGTTCAAGGCTGGAGACAGAACTGCCGTCTTGGAGCACTGATCCTGACCCCTCAGAGCTGGCACAGAAAGACCCATGTTGCCAGCTTTGCTGCTTCAGGAAAGTGGTGTCCGAGAGGAACTCAAGGGGAAATTCCTGGGGGCAGGAAGGGGCGGAGCAGCCAGGACACAAGGGATCCTGAGGCCAGCTTTCTTGTCTCCCCTTTGGAATGCCATTGCTCAGCAGATGAAAATGGACGCCCAGATGCATTTATTCACGTTGAAATCGCTTCAACAAAATAACAGCTCCGATCACATTAATCAGAATCTGCTCTGGGATGGATCCGGATGGGGTGCTTAGCAAGCATCCCAAGAAGTAACGTTGTCATACTCCAAGCAGAGGCCCACAGGCACAATATTCACTTGCAAATTGCGAGGTCCTTTTAAATCCTTGTAAACCAACATTGCAATACTCACTCAACACCTAGACGAGAATTTATCGCCAGTTGCGTGCAATTTTGGGTCCAGCCTGCGACAGTGTCGCTCACACACTCTGCGTGTGTTCCCAAGGCCACCCACCATCTCTCCGGTCACATTTGCTTGAAACCTCTCCCAGAGTTTTGAAATTTGAATCCAAAACTGTCGAGTGCTTGTGAAAGCATTAAGTGAAAGACTTAAGTGATCGGCAGCTGCAAAACCACATTTCCAAAATCACAGCGTGCCATTCAAAAGTGGTCCCAAGTGAAACTCCCCGCAAGAATTTGCACGGACGTGAGAAAAGCGGCAGTGCTTGCTGGCCCTGCGAGGAAGGCGGTGCGGCCGCAGGCGCACGGACTGCCCCATGAGGACAAGGAGCACGGGGAACGTTTCCCAGGCTGATGGGCAGGGAGGGTGCCTCGCGCCAGCATGGCGTGCATGATCAGCCGGGGACCGTGGGAAGAACAAGCCCACTTCTCGTCTTGACGGCAGCACGCACTGGAACTGCAAATGAAATCTGGCACGCCTGTTTGCAGGCGCTTATTTGCTAAACTGGAATTCAAGCGCTCATCGATCCTCCGCTTCCAATGCAAAATAAGTAAACAAGATGAACGATACTGGGACGTGATTGCATGGACGTGCCCTTCAGAACTGATTTAAATCCAGTGAACGCAGACTGTGAAGTCAGAGGTGAAGGTTTCCAGAAATGCTGCTTCTTCTAGGTCATCTAGACCCAAAATAATCCGGAAACTGCAACTAAAGACGTCAACAGCTGATAGTACAACCCTTCTGTGGCACAAGCCATGTTGGTATAGTTTTTGAGAGGTTACCAGATTTAAAGCTTCATGGCTGAGTTTGGGGAATGGGTTATATCTGGATCTGTCATTACTAAAAAATACATGGCAGCACAAAGTCCAGGCATTGTGGCACTAAACAGCACAAAAGTATATAAAAATCGGCATAGGCTTTGAGTTACCGTATTTTTCACTCTGTAAGACGCACCTGACCATAAGATGCACCTAGTTTTCAGAGGAGGGATCCATGGAAAGCTTCCTGATAATCACAGGCACTTTCCCCATCACTTCCCCATGGGCTTCATTAAAAGACGGGTTGCCATTTGAAAACACACACCGACCTGTGATTAACAGCTCTCACCTGCGCCGGAGGAGGGGAGCGGAGCAGGGTGCGCCGAGCGCGTGCTGGCCAGGTGTGGTGCAGCCGGGCCGGCAGCGTGCCGGCGGTGCTCTTCCGGGCAGTGCGGCGGCGGCAGGTCTTCCTGGGCAGTGGGGGTGAGCCGTCCATCTCTCCGTGCAAACGGCGGGTTAAAGCCCGTGGCTCCTCCTCCTCCGCACGCCTCCCCCTGAGCGGCACGGCTCTCACCTGCGCCGGGGGGGGGTGGAGCAGGGCGTGCCGAGCGCGTGCCGGCCAGGTGGTGCCACATGGTGGAGGCAGCCGGCAGCGTCCCAGGCGTCGGGCAGACACACATTCGCTCTATAAGACGCACAGACATTTCCCCTTACTTTTGAGGGGGGAAAAGTGTGTCTTATAGAGAGAAAAATACGGTAATATGACAATGTTGGTTTTTAGGTGTTTCACAAACCCTCACTTGTGGGTGGAAGCACAAATGTGACACAAAATGTTGGCACAAAAATGTGGAATATGGAAATCTTTTTTGGGGTGTTAATGATAAACTCCGAATGGATATATCCATAGACACTAGTTTGTGCTGGCACCAAGTGCAAAATACATTGATGCATATTCTGAAGGGATACCAAATGTTAGGGTTCCTAGAGAACAGAAATGTATTATTTTGAAGGTATGTAAAACACAATTACCTGAATTGCAATAGGCATAATCTTCTTCTGTAAATTCTTATACAGCAAGCAGATCGGAGCAGCCAAATACTGTTGTGTCCCTGGGTCTGTCTTATTGCCTTCGATACCATCCAGAATTTCATAATCTACTATGAAAACGTTCCCTTGCTGCAAGGCAAAGAAAACAAAACACACACCGTCCGTTTAGCTCAGTTCCCTGGCTCTCCCCATGAAAGAGCCGCTCGCGGGTCTCCTTTCCTATTTATATGCATGCATTTTGAGCTTTAGTATGTTCTGCTTTGAGAACTTGCTTAACAACTGTGTTGAGCTTGATCCAAATTTAAGTTTTCTCATTGTAGACCTCAACAGAAAAATCCAGTCATGACTAACCCAAGTCTCACTGATTTCAAGAGAAATACTACAAACATGGCTAAGTTTGGATCAGACCCATAAACACTCAAACACACAAACAAACAAAAAAGTAGTTGGAACGGCTTGATTGCCAGCCAAACAATCATGCATGGCATTTTACGTCCAGTGCTTCTTTGGAGGGACTCCAGGCCCAGTGGCAATGCCTGGCTGCGAAAGCTGGACCATCGGGAAGGCTGAGCGCCGAAGGACTGAGGCCTTTGAATTGTGGTGCTGGAGGAGACTCCTGCGACTCCCTTGGACCACAAGGCAATCAAACCAGTCAGTCCTAGAGGAGATCATCCTTGAGTGCTCCTTAGAAGGCCAGATCCTGAAGATGAAACTCACATACTTTGGCCACCTAATGAGAAGGAAGGACTCCCTGGAGAAGAGCCTGATGCTGGGAACAATTGAGGGCAAAAGAAGGAGGGGACGGCAGAGGATGAGGTGGCTGGATGGAGTCACTGAAGCCGTCCGCGTGAGCTTAGGTGGACTCCGGGGGATGGTGGAGGACAGGAAGGCCTGGAGGAATGTTGTCCATGGGGTCGCAATGTGTCGGACACAACTTTGCGACTAACAACAACAACAGGCCGGAAATCTGTCACCCACATTTTATGGTTGGTTTAGCTTGGAAACAGTGGCTGAGTTTGCGTGACAAAAAACCCCTCACAAATTGCTGCGCCACTTGAACGGTGACTGGCTGAGCCAAGTGAAGGCAGGTGCTTCACAGGGGCTGCTTCGGGGGTGCGAGCCCCCGACTGACTTGCTTAGGGGTTGACATACTCAGGCTGACGCGTGCTTTGCCTCTGAGTGCCCAGCCGTGCGGGGAGGAGGGACTGGTAAGCGCCGCAGAAGCATAATGGAGACTTGCATGGAGAAGGAAGATTAGGATGGGAAACTCTGCATATCAATAAAAACAGAAACTCTTTGGCAGGGCACTCCAAAAGACCGCCATGGACAGCAAAAGGCGACTGGAAGGGCAGCGGCACATTTCTACCTGCTGTTGTGAGAACTGGTGTGTGTGTGTGCGTGTGTGCATGTGTGCAGGTACCTCGAAGTGCAACCACTATCTGTTCATGCAAAATCATTTTTCAGTTTCCCGACTCTCTCTGGCTCTTCCCCCTCTGCCTTCGGGCACTTTCTAGCCATCAGCACCGTGTTGCTACAAATGCACATTCTGCACGGTCAGCCTTGCCGCCTCTTCTTCGTCAACACACACAATTAAAAACGGAGTCCACTAGTTTGCAATGCCTGTGGGGGGCGGCACAGAAAGAGGATGTGGAATGCAGGGAGGCCCCAATTCCTCCTCCTCTCGCCAGGCTTCCTGTGCAAGGACACTGGGCGATGCCCGGCCTTCCACTTAGCGTGCGGCTTCCTTGCCACACAGATGGTGATTTCCCGGAGCCACACAAGGCCTGCTGGGCTAAGAGTTTGCCTTCTCTGGAACAAATTCGGCAATATTTACTATCAGATGTGAATTCCATTTCCCCTTGGCCTCGCCGCTCGAGTTTCACTTCCCCTCGCTGAGACGGCGGTTGCAATCGCCTGCAAGGACAGTCCTGTCCGTTTCTCCAGCACTCAGAATATTTGGAATCGCCACTTCTGCTGGGGAGCCACGCTGTGGACACCCTCCCGAGCAGGTGCGTAAAAGAATGATTTCCATATATCCAAGCTGGTGGCAGGCGGGGTGACTGGTTTTTAGAAGAACAATGATATATTTTAGAAAAAAGATTAACAGACGGCTTGAATGACAGATAGCATTTTTCCACAAGGCATCTGAACACTCGTCTTTGAGACACATTGATTTAGCACACTCGGTCCATTGCTCCCTCAATGCTTAGAAGTCCTTGGGCACCAAACCCAGCCTTCAGTGTCTTGTCCGCCCACTCCTGGCTTTGCAGCCCTTCTAGTGACGATGCTTCAGGAAAGAGCAGGAAGGAGGCTGGAGGAGGCTTCGGAGAGTCCGTATCTTGGCCTTCCTGGTCTCCTCCCAGTTGGCACGAGTCTTTCCATGCAAGGGCGTGGGGAGGGCTTGATGGCCGACTCCCCCTTCCAAGCTTAGGGTGCTCATCTCCACCGCCTCCAGCATCCTCTGCTCCTCCAAATAATCTTCAGGGGTTGCGGATTGCCTCCTTGATTGATTGATTGATTGATTGATTGATTGATTTATACCTCCTTTCAAAGCAAAGCTTCCTGACAGCACCCTAAAAAATACATTACCTAGGACAGCAGCACAAAACATTCAAAATAACAGTAGAATTTCTAGAATTCAAATGGGCATCCGTCCATTTAAAAGCATCCACGTTTTCAAGGTCTTATCAACAACATGACCAGAAGGTGGGAGTGCATGCGTCTGCACACATTAAACCTCAGTTAGTTTTGGAAAAGGCTGCAACTGTGGAATTAAGCGCCCTGCGTCTTGGTTTGAATGTTCATTTTCGCACGGCAGAGGCTGTCTGAGTCAAGAACGATGCCCTGTCCAAAATGCACGTTGGCTGGCGGAGGAGAAGCGGGGTCACAAGCGGAAGCAGAGTCCGGAGGCCTGGCAAGGGCAGTCGCTGGCAAGGTGGGGCAAACCGAGGGCAGGTAAGGCAAGCGGCAGGAGGGCTCCAACGGAGGGCAAGGGCAGCGGCCGGAGGGGCAGTGGTCCCAGCGTGGCCGAGGGTGAGCCCAGAGCAGACGCAACCGGGGACGCGGTGCAGCCCCCCAACGACCAGAGCTCCTGCAGCCAAGCGCAGGGGTGCCGGGGGGCTGGGCCCAGAAGCACGTGGAGCTCCCCAGCGCATGGCAAAACTGCGCCCGTGCAGGGTAGCCCTTGCAAGCCCCTCCAGATCTGTCCCTGGAGCCGCACCGCGGCTTCAGATCTGGCCACAGCAGCCGGAGAGCCCAGTAATCAAGCACTGAGCCCCTATTTTCGGCGGGTTACCTTGACTTCCTCTTCCAGAGTCAGATTCCTCTCTAAACAGCATTCTACCATTTTTGTGGTCACCGGAAACTTCTTGGGTATTTCTGTGCACTTTTGGATCAGTACAGGATTGCACCCGTTCAAAAACTGGTACCCGAACATGAAGTCTTCCTGCCAGTGCTCCATCACATATTCTGAAGGGAAACGTGAACAGGCGGCATTTAGTGGCTTTTAGTCCAACTGCAAAAGTGTGACGGTTTCACAAGGCAACAAAGGCGAGGCAACAAAGAGGTTTAACCAGTGCAGACGCTGAGCTTGAAAATGATGCTTAATGCAAAAGCGTTTTACTTTACATCATGTGCCCAACAGACACATCTTCGGAGGCCAGAGGGGAGAGAAAACAACAAAAATTATATTTAAATTACTGTATGTTACATTTGTTAAACAATACACACACGCACACACCGGCTACTGCATTCAGTTCGACTATATTTTGTGTTTTTTAAGTTACCATATTGCTATTTTCCAGACAGGGACACCGAGAAGATGCCAATATGAATATCAAGTTGCGTTAGGCGGACGCGTCAAGGGAAAGGAAGAGCAGGTTCCCGGCGTGTTCTGCTTGTGGCCCGTGTCCCGGGAGGGCTTCCCTGCCTGCATTTGACTTTCAGAAATTCTGTGCTACTTTGATTGACTTGACTAGCTTCACATTCTCATATTTTCTTTCAGCTCAGCTCTGGATTTCAGCCTTCTACATTTTTACATTTCCATAAAAATAGCAGGTTTTATTTCCTGTACATGCCATCTTTTCATCTTAGCATAGTTCGCCCACAACTATCACCAGCAACATCGAGAACTAATCAAGATAACATAATACACTTTCAAGGCACGTTTCCGCCTGTGATTCGCTTGTGCCAGTGCTTTGAAAGCCAAGAATTTTCTGATGCAAATATGAACAACTACAATTAAACACACCGGAAATTGTATTGCTTATTTTGACAAAGATCTTCTCAAAATCTGCAAAGTCACTCCAGGAAGACTGGAACATATGCATGAAACTGTTAATACACAGATTTTCCATTCTGCAAAATCAAACACAAAACATCGCAGGATTATTAGAAACCATTTGCTTTACAACTTTCAATTTTCCCATCTCTTCATTCTGGCTCAAAATTCTCAGCCAAAGAAGGGTGCAAATTAAGTGACCATTTCAAACCTATGAGCCCCAGTCTGAAATTTATTCCACTTCCTTTGTAGAACAAACTCTTTTTTTCTCTCTCTTGTGTATTTTAGACACAGAAATGCTCTTAAAGCAGCGGCTCTTCCCAACTCAGGTTGGGATGCTGCAGAAAATGGGAGGAATAAAGCACCTACAAAAATCCAGAGTGAATCCTTGAGGATTTTCTCCTAAAAATCCACCAGTACCTTCACCAGGGAAGGGGTCAGTTTCCCCTCGCTTCCCACTAGCTTTCTGGAAGCAACATTCCTCTTTTTAGAAATGTGTTGGGGCATCTTTACGTGCAGTGGTGGTTACGCAAAGTTTTAAGGCCCCCACTGGTTTCCCTGCCCCTCTGGAGTGAGCCTTCTGACTGACTTCTAACGGAAGAGAACTTTCTTTTCATGGCAAGCTATTGCACTCGTTTTCAGTGGGCAAAGTTGCACGATGACAAAAACTTGGGCCTCCCCTGAAGGCAACGTGGGTAGTTGTCTCCTGGATTTAAATAAAGACTACCCTGGTTAGCAAATCTTTGGGAAAGAAAGGACTGCTGAGCTATTCATGTTTCTTCGTATCCATTCTGAATATTTTAAAATGTTATTATGTTGCGTTGTTACTAACAACTCAAAGTTAACAATAACTTTGTTAATGTTTTGTTATCCTTGTGGAAAACCTTGTTCTGGGCCTAGTGAATGTGGCAGAAATGTAACTAATAAATGATGGGAGAAACTGGCATTTTAAAGCTAAGATTTAATATCAGTAAAACCAACTAGCTGATAGCAGTGCAGTTCCGGAGCGATAAACACCATGTGATTATTATCCGTACTGTTATCTATATTCCACTTTTTTTCTTTCAAGGCTTGCTTAATTCTCCCCCTCCGCTCATTCTTAACCCACAACAACAACCCCGTGAGGTATTTTGGGCTGCGAAACCAGGTGCGTCCTTACAAGGCGGGGAACACGTGGCTCCACAGCCCCGCGACCGAGAAGGATCCTGGAATGGTCGCAGGTCACAAGCAGAAGGGAGTCGACCAGGCGATGGGGCCGCACAAGGGCCAGCGCTATTTAGGCTGCATGAACAGGATCGCCACTTGCAGACCCTTGAAGTGCCAGTCCCCCTTCACTCGGCACCGGTGAGGCCTCAACCGGAGTCCTGGGTCCAGTCCTTGGTACCACAGTTCAAGAAAGATGCAGACAAGCCACAAAGCCTTATAAACAGACTGAAATGGGAAATATTCCTTTTTAAAAAAATACTTTAATAATTAACTGTCATTTGACCTTGTTTTGTATTCTTGCTTGTATTTTACTGTTATTCTATTTTTAAAATGTTGTTATAGGTTTTTATTGTGCTTTTATCTTGTTGTGCGCTGCCCAGGGCAGCCTACAACTGTCCTAAATAAATAAATATTATGGTCATAGCCATCGCACATATGTTAAAAGTCTGCAGCAACCTGCATCACAGCGTGCAAAGTGCAGTGTTTTGGTTCAGCTTATTTCAAAACTGCCTTGTAATCAGTTTCTTTTCCCTTTTCCATTCTGCCAAGCTGAAGCACCAGCACGAAATAACAGGCACACCGCAATACTCACGCCTTGGTGTAATTGAGGATGAAGTCGACTCCCTTCTCAGTGTCAAACTGGATGTTCCGAGGAAGCTCCTTGTGGGTTTTGCTGTCTATGTTCAGGGGGAAGCCTGGGTGCCATTCTGCCCACCTAAATGAAGACGAAAAGAGGCGCCCTGATGTTTTCCAAGGCTGAGAATCATGTAAATAAAATACAAAATGTATCTCTGCATTGACCAGACGGATATCATAATCGCTTCCTGGTTCCACATCCTCAAGATGCAAGACACAAAGTTCACACTTTGAGCCAAAACAACATCCTCAGGCGAGATGCGAGATTAGTTCTTGCACCTGACAACCGACTGTTTGCTTGCAGACCTGCAAACACTCTTCAGCTCCTGACTCACCCGATTTTGGGAACAGCGATGCCAATCAGAGGCTGCCTCCCTCCATGCTTATTACTTACCTTCTTAAAGATTTATGGAGGGGCAGGACCTGAAAACTCTCTCTTTGATCATCTCTTTGCAGTGCTTTAAAAAAGAAACTACAACAAAACAGCAAATTTTAAGGAAACTCACCGATACATTTTCTGGCGGTCCTCCAATTCTTTACGTCTGTGTTGCTTAAGGATCTGAGTTTTGTCATCTCCAAAAAGCTTGGCTGCAGGAAATGACAAGAGTAATACTTAGTATGAAATCGATATATATGTATTAGATTTGTAATAACCCACTTTTCTTATGAAGAACTCAAAGCAGCTAACTTCATTCTCCTCACTTTGTGCTTCACAGTATCCTAAAAAAAGGTCCCTCAGAAATAAATTCCAGTTAATTCGGCAGGGCTTACTTTCAAGAAAATGGTTATATGACTGCAACCTTACAAGCAGATGACAATTTTTATTTTCCATTTCTTGGGAAAGGCAAGTGCAAGTTTAGCATGTTTATGATGACAACTAATTGTATCTTATGCTGTTGCTTTTTAAAAAGAGAGACATTTAGTATGTTTTGTTTTTTAAATCTATACAATCCACTTTACATTTTCAAAATCAAACTTTGATTTTATTTATTTTTTTAATCATTGATTTTTGTCCACCTTATCAACCAGCAGTTTGGACAATTTTTATGAGACTTTTACGTCTTTTGTCTACTATGGAATCTTTGGTATGCATTATTTTGCTTCTATTTTGTTTTGATGGACTTTCGAGTTGTTTGTCAGTGCATAAGCAAAATGCTCCACTGGATTTGTTTCCCAAAGGATACTCCATGGTTGACTCTTACGTCCAAGGGCAACACGTGTGGCCGGTTATATTGGATTAAAGGCAGCCCTTGAAATGAAAGTGCTTCTCAGCCTTGTTCCTCGAAGCAAACCCTTGCGAAGCACCCACCTCGCCCATCTCGAAGTACGACTTCCTTTTCATCCGTAATCCATCTGTAGCAGGGGAACTCCAGGTAGTCACCCATCGGTGTTTTCACGGTGACATACTTGAGATACCAGTCATCCGGAAACCAGTACTTCCGTTTTTCTATTTTTATCAGCTGGATTTCTCCCAAGTCTTCTGTCACCGTCACATCGTAAGTATCAACCTGTGAGAAAAAAATGCAGGCTGTGATCTTTGGGGAAACACAACGGCGTTCTTCAGTGCTCTTGTAATCGGCTGCACACGGAGAAGGCCCGACTCAGTGAGCGGGAGCCTCCGTCTGGCAAGTCCCATCATCCACCCTTCTCTATCGCTCGGGTCGCCTTCGAGCAGCTTTCTTCCTTGGGCAGAAAGTGAGTGGCGGGCGAGTGAGCGACCGGATGTGGCCGCGTTTACCTGCTGCTGGTGGCGAAGAGGCCCCCTGAGCCCAATTCTTCTACCACTGCCCACCCCTGGAAAGAGGGCAGAATAAGAAAGTGGGAAAGGGGCAGCTGGACAGTTACACTTCCTTCTGTGCAATGCAAGGGCCCCCAGTCCTTCCCACTGCAGACAAAAGTCATCTTCTCTGCTTGCACAGCCCCCCCCCCCCCCCGGTTGTGCAGTGGAAGAAGCTCAACAAGAAAGGGAGAGAAGAATGAACATGGGTGGCCAATTCTTCTGCAAAGAGAAGCACTTCCGGGGTCTCCACTGCCCCCCAAAACGGGGCTTTCCAACACACAAGAGACTCGTTGAAAAGAACAGTGGACAATTTTGAAAAATCGGGATGGAAAAATCAGAGGCTTGACAGAAGACGGGAGGGGGCTTGCTCTGTGCAGGTGCGGCCTTCCACTCGATGTCTGATGCTTCAAAACGCCGAAGAACGCGGTGACACGGTTGGAATAATGGCGGACATACCGGCCTAGCCCCAGGGCCTCGCCCTCTCCTATAGCCTCCGGGGCTCCCTTTTGCTTCAGCTTCTGCCTCCAGCCCTTTGCTCCCCCAGCTTGCGATCCCCTTTGCCTGCCTGTGGATTCCCTCCGTCCTCCCCCCGTTCGTTCCCCGTTCACGGATCTCCGAAAGTGTGGCATGCCGGATGTTTTTGGGCTGCGACCCTCTCCAGCCCCGGCAGGCCGCACGCTCCCAGCCACTTTCTTCAGTGCGGCCCGGCTCCCCCAGAGCTGCTTTCCCAGCTTTTGGAAGGAAGTGTTTCCAACACCATGGCTGGAGCTGGCCCTATCCCCCCCGGGAATCTGCAGAGGGCACCCAAGCAGCTGTTCCACTCATTCCCAGAAGAGGGCACCACCAGGCGGGACATTGCTCCTGGTCTCGAGCCGGACTCTGGCCCCTCTCAATTGAGCCCTTTAGTCCGTGCTCTGTACTCCCGGAGGGCCAAGAAGAGACCCCGGCCTTCCTCTCCGTGGCAGAGTGCAAAGCGCTCTCCCGCCTCCCCTCCGCCTTCCCTCCCCCAGGCTGAATGCACCCAGTTCTTTCCCATCTCCTCCCAGTCCCCGGATCATCCCTGTCGCCCTCCCCCGAACCCCTCCCAGCCAGGCACCTGCAGTGGGAGGCAGAGAACCGCCAGCACTGCGCCTGAATGACAATCTGGGGACATTGAGCCTTGGCAGTTTCCACGTGAAATCTATCATTTCTGCCCCAGGGCTCTTTTTTCCTGCAGCTTAAATGACCATTATCACATGCTTGCTGATTTGGATGAGGTTGTTTTGCACTTATCTTATTAAATTATTATTATTATTATCCTCAAGTTCTGGTCTACTTCCCTTTGCAAGGTGAGGAAGGCTATGATAAAAAAAAATAATTGTTAAAGTGAGGCTAGGATAAAGTTTTCATGAAAATGAGAAATCCCATTAAACAGTCTTTAACAACTTATCTAAAAAGGCGAAGAGTCGAGCTGGCCATGTTAGAAAATAATGTTGCTAAAAATAGGTATGAAATGACTCCTGCCTCCAGTTCAGTTCCGCTGAAAGGTGGTAAAAACCTCACCTCAATATTGCTAAGACTAAGGCTGAATCCTCCCACTGGGCTGCAAAGGGCTGGCTTGCAAAGCATTGCGACATCATTCTCTGGAAAAGAAATGAGCTGATGGCGATGGGGAACTGGGACCTTGTGCCACAGGATTCGTGAGAGACCCACACAGTCATGAAGCAAGATGCAAATGTGGAACTGAGGACTAGCTTACACAATGCAGTCTATATTTAACATGCAGGTTCACCTTCCTTTCTGTTTTATGCCTGAGTGAATGTCTGGCTCTTCATATGTACTAGGATCCTAGTGCCTGGGCAGGAAGATTGAACTCTCCCTCGGCTGCTTCTCCCACAAATTCTCCTCTCCTCAGCCTATGAGGGCCAAAAAGGAAAAGGGATGTGCGTGCGGAGGGCACATCCAGCCTACAAATTCGTGGATGAATAAACTTGTCGTATCAGAAGCACCAAATATTTCCATGAAACTGTTCCTGGGCCAGGGCCTGGACAAGCCCTCTGTCCTACACTGAAAGACAGAACTCTCTCATCAATTTGCTAGAACGCTGCATAAATCTTAAATCCTGAAGCACCTTCATTATGTATCATTACACATAATTACTCAGTGTGGTTGTGCTGTTGGAAATTCAAGCAATCAGAACTTAATGCGGTGGCCTCCACAATTCCTATCATCCCATCAAGCTTCTTATGTAAATACCCCTTCAGACCTTCTACATCTGTTGTTCTCATGAAATATTTGCCATGCAAAGCCTCCCAGATTAATTTTACTATTTCAAAATTCCACGTCAAGTTCGAATGGTTTCGGAGGAAGCTTGTGCCACGGCAGTGGAATCAGCCGAGCAGAAGAGAGACCGGGGTTTGTTGACATGCGGAGGGAGAGCAGGAGACTATCAAGGGGAGCTCATGGACAGGGCTGGGTGCATGCGACCTGAGAGCGAATCCTGGGAGCTCTCTGCCTCCCCAGAGCCTGGAGCCGCCAACCAGAGACAAACAACAGTGCAGCTGGGTCAGTTCCTGTGCTTTGAAGAGCAGCTTTGCACACAGAAATTAGCATGCAGTGGGGTTCACAACGTGGACATCCATAAAAGCCCCCTGCGTGGCTTGTACTGATGCGGAGGATCCGTGCGGAAAAGGCCGAACGGCTCTAGGAGAGCCACGCACTGGACGGGGAGGGCTGCAAAGAGACGGCGGCTTGTGAACATCCGTGCGGCTTGAGACGGGCATTCCCATGCGACCCCTGGCATGCTTGCACACATCAGAGGCGAGCATCTAACGGATATCTGCATCTCGCCCTGCTCTTAAAAACACAGCTGCAGAGGCTGCCAAGAGAGATGGCAACCCTATGCAAGAATTAAATCCTGAAGCAACCCTATGCAACCCTTTTATATTGTTATTTATTTTATATTGTTAATTTTATATTGCTATTTTTGTATTTTTTTGTATTTTATTGCGTTGTAAGCCGCCCCGAGGCTTCGGCAAGGGGCGGCATAGAAATGTTTTAATAAATAAATAAATAATACAAGAATTTCTGTCTGCCTCTGATTGAAGTGGCGATAATTAGACCCCGCGGCTACCACATGATGCATCTGCTTATATGAAGATACGCCGCCACGGGTTCCTCTCACTGGTATTATCTGATTGCTTGATCAAGGTGGGCCCTTTTCCAGCTCGAGGACCAGATTAGCTCTGGAGAACCATGTCTGGGTGGAAGACAATGGAGCCCGTGACCCAGGGAGGTGGCCGGCTCTCCCACGCTGGCGGCATCCCAGACGCTCGGGGAGGGACGGTTTGGCTGGGAGTCCCGCACTGCGCAGGGGGTGGGCCCTTCCAGCTCGGCTGTGCTGGGATCCCGTGGGGGGAGTCGCACTCCAGAGCGGGAAGGGCCATTCCAGAGGGGACCATGGCCCCATCAAGATGGTCCGGACGCTGATACGCGCCGAGGCGCTCGCACGGCCGTTCTCCCCGTCACCGCAACGGGGCGTCTGAAGGCGTCCGTGGCTGGCGCGTTATCACTCGCGGGGTGCCGCTTCGTGCGCGAGCGGCCAAAGCGGAGGGGGGCCGTCACGGGGCTGGGGAGCGCGCCCGCAGAGGCGGCCCTCGCCCCCCCGCCGGCTCCTCGGGGCGTGTGCGGGGCAGCGCTTCCCCGGGCAGGGCTTGCGCGCGGGCGCTTCCGGCCCTTCCCGCCTGGGCAGCGGCCCCTCCGCATGCAGACGGGAGACCCGAACTGCGCCCAGAGGGAAAGCCGGGCCCCCGACGGGTCCCGAAGGGGCTGCCTCCTGCCCGGAGCTCTCCCGCCCTGCTGGCCGGGCTGGCGACGCCCGCAGCATCGGGCGTGCAAAGCGCGGGCCCGCGCAGCCCCACGCGGGACCCGCGCCCCGATCCCGCGGCCGCAGGGGGCTGCCCCGCTCCTGCGCGCCCGCCCTTCCCCCCGGGCTGCGTCCGGCGCCTGTGCGGGCGGCTGGGTCGGGCAGCGAGCCC